GGCTTATAATTTACAAAAATTTTCAGTTGGTATATTGTCTCATTGAGTCGATTTTAGTGTTATTAGTTGCAACAGGCACAATTAAAAGAATTTTCTTTGCAATGAGTATTACCAAGACATACCGTCATAATAAGATGGACGATGACTTTTTCTTATGCATGATTGCTTAGTATGCTATATAGCGATAAAGTTGCTTGTGCCTAAAAAAAATTCACCACTAAAAAGCAATATCGTAGTATAGCGTAGTAGAGTTCCTATCCATAGGGAAAAGTACTTTTCGCGTGTGTGTAAGCGTAAACGGAAGGGGGGTTTAATTTAAGTATTGTGATAATTGAGAAGACAAATAAAACACTAAGTTGAATGAATTATAATATCAAAGGTAATCAAGTGTTGGTTTTGCTATATGTTTCACTTAGGGAAGTGCTCATTGATTATGATTACTACTTTAACTTCCCCTATTGAATACTTAACCGTGGAGATTCAATCATCCAATTCATCAAGGATAGTTTTAATAATGAGATGCAATCCTTAATAACTCTTACTATTAGTAAATATAGAACAAACGTCATTTATGCATCTAATTAGTAGCATTTGATCGATTTAATGAAATCAATTACGAACAATAATGAGTATAACCCGGGTTGAGTATTCTCGTCTTCTCGACTGTCACAACGAGAATCTCATGTCAGCTCTTCTATCTAATTTCTCAATTGGTCATCTAATGAAATCAATTATGATTGATAACATCAACACAAGCGGTTTTGCGGTTCAATCAATATAATTACTCCCTCTTAGATTATTAAATATGAGACGCATGCATTAATAATCTAAGGCTACTACTTCTAATAATAACAAGCATATTCATTGACCAATTCTATTTATAATCAATATGAAAAAATCAACTAACTGATCACTTAGTGATTTTCAAATATCAATATGGAACATGAATATGCAAGTGATTAATATTCAAGAGAGGAAAATTATGGAAATAAGTCATAGCTTGGGAATCACAAGCTTCAATATAGCAAAATCAAACTAAAAAGACTACCTAAGTTTTAAGGCAATGGATGTATTGATGCATGTGTATGTAAAATGGGAAGGAAAATCGTGTTTTCAAACATTCTCTTACTTTGATCTCGTATGATCTCCAGATCAAATCATACCCGATCAGGTATTAGATATACCTGACCGGGTGTGTAACCAAATCAGATTTTTGTTCTTTCTTTGTCTCCCATGAAACTTCCTAAAGTCTCCAAGCTCCTTCTTTATACTCCCAAGTGATTTGCTCTTGCTTTTTCATAGTGTTTGTTCCTTATATGTCCGATCTCTTGATACACTCTAATTCCTATCTTATTTTAGAAGATAAATATTAAATCTTAATTGATCAAAAGCTAAGTACACTTATTCTAAAATTATTCTAATGATGTTTATGTACTACTAAATAGCACATACTCCCTGCGTCCCAAATTGATTTGCTAAGTGAACACTTTTTGATCAACCAATGTTAAAGTTATATTCTCCATATTGATAGAGAGAGAGAGAGGAGGGATGTTTTCAAACAATTGATAATGAAGTTATTATGTAACCTTTTCAACATAAGAAAAATTGTAGGATTGACATACCCAAGTTGTAGAAATGAGCCAAATAGTATATAATGAACTATAATTTGTGCTTGTGTATTATGTTTTTGTTGTTTTTATAATATCTTGAGCAAGTAGGCAATAGTTTTTAATCTTTGATACACCCCACTTTGACAAACCTCTTGCTTCATCACTGGCCCCACGTGATAGAAAAAAGTGAAAAAATAGTCAACTGTATTGCTAATCATTAAAAGCATGAAACGAAGTACAATTTTTACATTAATTGTTTTTCCCCAATAAAAAATTGAACTAAATTAAAAGGCGCTTGTATAACTATTTTGCCCATGCAATCTAATAATAAAAAATAGAGAAATTGTCATTGACCCCTCGAGATTTGACTTATTATGACTTACACCTTGCATTATAAAAAATGTTCTACCCTTCTCTATCCATAAATGGTTCTAGATAACTTCTCATTTATGTTGAGCAAAAATTATAGATGTAGTCCCGTAACTTTTGATTGTGTTCGCTTTTAATGTCATAACCTTTATCAATTACAATTGCTGATGAGAGATTTAATAAATTCATCCATATTAAGAACCTTCCCACCGAAAACCGAAACCATTAAAGCACAAAGTGACCAAAACTGAATGACTCTAGGTAGTTCGGTTTATGACTTCGGATTTGAAAATTTATTGAGTTACCAAAACATGCTAAAAATGATCAAAATTGAAACATAAGACTAGTTGGAGTGGTGAGGTGTCTTAGACCAAAATTGGTGGACTAAGTTAAAGACTAGGAGTCCAAAATGTTAAAGACGACATTTTTGGACTCCTAATTTCATACATTGATGAGCTAAAGTGGGTAGTAAAAATGGAGAACAATTTTGTTCACCCCTCAAAAGAGGGTGAACATCACCCCCACCCCTATTGGGCTGCCACATGGCATGACAATACTTTTAAATTTTGCAATTGTTATAACTTATGCATTTGTGGTTCAATGTTTTCAAAAAATATATCAATTTTTTTAATTTTTTTATGATCTTTCATATGATACCAATATTGTATATGTAAAATTAGAAAAACAACAACTTTAAAATATATGTAAAGAAAAAAAGGTTTTTTTTCAATATTTTATATATGCAATATGGATACCATTGGATAGATCATGAAAAGTTATTAAATCTGATATATTTTTTTGTTAAAAATTAGATTATATATATAAAGTTATATTAATTTTAAAAAAAAGAGTAAATGTAATGTCAAGTGTCGTGTATTGGAGGGAGGAGGTGATGTTCACCCTCCATGAAGGGGGTGAACAAAATAGCACTCGTAAAAATGGGTAAGGGGATGGAGGAATGGAGGAGTTTAAATTTGAAGGGTGTATTGACAACAACAAAAAATAATAAAAAAATAAGAAAGGGAGTGGGGCGGAAAGGCTGCATTGCGCAGAGGGAAAAGCACTAAAGCAGGGAAAAAGGGAAAAGGAATGACGTCATTTGTTTATGCATTAAGCTATAATTTTTCTATAACTCTTATAACTTTTTATTTTTTATCCAATTTTTTCTTAAAATATACTCCTGAATATTTTTTCTTAAAATATACTCCTGAATAGGAGTATCAAAATTCGTGAATTTTTATGATCGTTCAAATGACATCAATATGTAATATATAACACTGAAAAAAAATATGAAATCTTATTTGTTAGAGTTTTCTTGAGCTCAAAATAACACGAAACACAAATTTTTAATTCATAGATCTTCCAAAAATAACATAATATTCCATATTCTAACATTACTTGAACTAAGTTCATTTTTGTTAATAAAAAAATTAAACAAAATTAATGAAATTTATTTATTTTTACATCGAAATGTGTATTTTTTATTTTGTAATCATTCAGGGGGAAATTAAAAGGAAAATATGAAAATATTACTTATAATAATTTAATTAATGTTTTACTAAATAGATATGTAAAAATAATCTTAGAGTGCATTTTATTGATGGTGCTGGAATGCAACAAATAGGAGTCAAAACACTGTTTTCGTATGAACGGAGTCCATTTTTGACAGTTTGGACTCCACACGTGGTCTTACAACCAAAATAGACTCAAATAGTACGTTTGGTTCTTGGTTTCACCATTATCAAAATTTATCATGATAAATTGAATCGGCGAAAATCCCTAATTTTTAGTTTAGGCGCTATTTGTTCTCACCGGAAATTAGATCATGACATGTATAATAGTAACTTGTAAATTAGTATTTGAAACAATATGAACATGCTTACATGTGACTAGTGGTGGTCACGGTACGGTTCCAGACCAGTTTCAGTCCCAGACCGGATGGTCCAAAAAAAAATAGGAAGACCCGAGACAGTAACCGGTATTTCTGGTTCCGGACCCCAATCGGTCCCATCCCAATCCCAAAATTTTATTTTAGTTGTATATATTTTTAAACCTTCCTAATGAAACGATGAATGTAAACATTTGGCGTATAAATTTCAGGCTCGGAAAATGAGGAAATGCATGCATTTTCGAGTGATGCTTTAAATTTGTATGCCAAATGCTTACTTTCATCACCGTTAGTCAAAGTAATGGGTGTAAAAGAACATTCATTGTCTCTCCAACCATCACATTCTACACCCATTATAATCAATATGAAAAAATCAACTAACACATCACTTAGTGATGTTCAAATATCAATATGGAATATGAATATGTAAGTGATTAATATTCAAGAGAGGAGAATTATGGAAATAAATCAAAGCTTGGGAATCACAAGCTTCAATATAGCAAAATCAAACTAAAAAGACTACCTAAGTTTTAAGGCAAAGGATGTATTCATGCATGTGTATGTAAAATGGGAAGGAAAATGGTGTTTTCAAACATTCTCTTACTTTGATCTTGTATGATCTCCAGATCAAATCATACCCGATCAGGTATTAGATATACCCGACCGGGTGTGTGACCAAATCAGATTTTTGATCTTTCTTTGTCTCCCATGAAACTTCCTAAAGTCTCCATGCTCCTTCTTTATACTCCCAAGTGATTTCCTCTTGCTTTTCCATAGTGTTTGTTGCTTATATGTCCGATCTCTTGATACCTTCTAATTCCTATCTTATTTTAGAAGATAAATATTAAGAAAAAAGATTGGGGTACACACTTTTTGTACACACAATTTGTACACTTGTCTGTCCCCCACAGATAAGTTGTCTTTCGCGAGATGAGTTGTCTGTGGACAGACAAGTGTACAAATTGTGTGTACAAAAAGTGTGTACCCCTAGCTCCACCCAAATATTAAATCTTAATTGATCAAAAGCTAAGTAAACTTATTCTTATTTTAAAATTATTCCAATTATCAAAATATCAGATAAAAAAAATATATCTGAGCTGGAAGGGGGGGGGGGGGGGGGGTAATTGTTATTGCTAGAGAGTACAAGTTGTCAACCATTTACAATGAAATAAATGTTACTATTTATACTACCAAGGGGTAGCTGATGTTGGTGATGTGGAGGTTGGTGAGTGGCTAGCTTCCCAAACACCAAATCTATTGCATTAAATGTGTTTCCCGCCAATAGCTTGATTTCCCGCCAATGGGTCTGAACGAGCGTCCCCTGGTCTTCTGATTCTGGGGCCAAGTAAGCACAAGGACGGGGTTCCGCTCGGCCTAATAGGCTTCTCCTCCGAGGCCCTTGGATCATCATCGGGACTTCTCTAGCCAAGGCGAGTAACGCCGAGCGTCTTTGTTGATTGGATGTTCGTTTGGCAGCTCTTTCTCTCCGGGCCGCACCCGGATTGGGCCTTGGTGGTTTATTTGCTAAGGGGTAATGGGCCGCTCCTGCATCGGGCCCATTAACCCAATAGACATGCATTATGAAAAAAACTTAATAAATGATGTCCCTTAATTTAACTGACCGATCCATCACCATCAATTGTATGAACTGTGTTGCTCATGTGTTAGCTACACAAGGTGTGTTACTACGAGATCAAAATAGAAGTTTTGATGTTATTCCTGATTGTATTGTAAGCCAGTTGGCAAATGATTTGCTTGATTAATGCTATAATTATTTATTTGGTTGTAAAAATATCAATTGCGTATTAAAGTTTGTTTAGATAAAAGAAAAATGATAATACGTACATAATTGTTATTCTTATAAAGGCAATACAAAACAAGATTATTTAAGAACAAATTGAAAAAGAAAGAACAATGAGTTTTATTTTTGGCTAATAGGTTGTTTGATTATAATATAAATTACTTTTTGGGATTTATTTTCCTCTTTGTACTATACTACTATACAGGCTGTGCTAACGAGGAATAACACCATTAGTGGGGTGAAATACAAGGATGATTCTACAATAATGGCTTGGGAGCTCATGAATGAAGCGAGATGTACCTCAAATGTGGACGGATATATCCTCCGAGTAGGGTATTTATTATTCAAAGCTACTTCATGATATAAAGGCTTATACATTGTGGAGATTCGTATATGAGCTTATGCAAACAAAGTCTTTGCATAGGCCTCCACAAAATTAAGGACCTTTTAAAAAATACAGTGAATATATTTAAATATATTAACTATTTTATTCAGTATATAAGTGTATTAATAAATATTGGATGAAGGAGGAAGCTTTTGAAAAACCCAATGAGTGATTAAAGTCCAAACAACTATCTATTGAAGTCCATGTCAAATGAAAACCTTAGATGTTAGTCATGTTCCCTATTTGACTATATTTTTCATGACCTAGTATGATGGGGATTAAGTTTTATGGTGAGTAATATGTTGGTTGTTCATAGATTAAATTTTACTAATCATGTATGAATTATGAATAGATGTTAAGTTACTCTGTATTACTTTTTGTGCGCTTTCTTAATGTAAGACCTAATTTGTGTAATTAGCATTGGTTCACGTAATTGGTTGAGACAATCTTGATTGTGTGTACGCATTTAACCAGTAAAAAAAGACAAATATGCGATGTCATACACAATTACGTATTACAGAGACAACTAGTAACTATGCACATGCATTAATTTTCGTATTAAAGTGCATAGATAGGCACACAAACTAATGTGCCTATATATAAATATATATATATATAGGTAAGGGGAAGAGTTCAAATAAAAAGTGGTATTCCCGTGCAAAGTGCGAAATTTGCACTTTTGCATGTTCCGCTTGCACTTTTGCTTGTTTCTGTTACACTTTTTCACCATTGCGATTTTGGCCAAATTCGGCCAAAATGACGAACCCAATTTTTTTCGCTACCGCGAAAAAGTGCAACAAAAACGAGAAAATGTGCAAGCAAAACATGAAAAAGTGCATATTTCGCACTTTGCACGGGAAGATCACTTTTTATTTGAATCATCCCCTATAGGTAAGTGCTACGGTACTTCACAAATAAGTGAAGATACCGTATCTACAGTACATTTGATTGGTCCAAATCATTATTTCATCATTTATTAATATTTAAATTATTCAATTGCAATATTCTAACTGGTCTACATAGACAAAAATAGACAAAATATGTTACCTTGAGTCCTTGAGGATACAGTAGAATTCGCTAAATAAAAAAATGTGGTGTCATTTTGGTAAATAAGTTAAAGAATATATTAATGTGAAAAGTGTAACACAAAAACATAATAGTGCATCATATCACATTGAAAAAAAAGTGAACGATTTGCATTTATTATGGAAAAAATGGTTTATATTTGATCTGTCATGTATATATATTAGTTTCTGCTACAAGTTCCCTAATCCGTTCTTCAATTGGACATGTCTCTCTAGATTAGATTGGACAATACTTCTTTTTGTGTTCCATGTACGTAAAACGGAGTAGTCCAATATCTTAGCTAATCTTGGTTTATAGACCATTTGAATTTGCTTTAGTTTTTTCCAGAATTGGATAGCAGATATGGCTGCCTACTTGAAACATATTGATCCTAATCATCTGCTAGAAGTTGGGCTCGAAGGCTTTTATGGTCCATCAAATGCCAAAAAAAATCAGGGAGTGTCTTTTTATGAAGTGGGGACTGACTTCATTACCAATAATCAAAACTCTCTCATCGATTTCGCCACTATCCATGCTTATCCAAGCACATGGTATGTATTAATTCCTTTTGAAACACTTTGCTGTATAGCACAAAATCTAAATTTAAAGACTTTATCTATGGTTATTTAGGGGTGTTAGAAATTGATTCTATTTCTCCATTCTTTTTGAAAAGTAGAAACATAATTAGAATCACCCTCAGCTTCTAAAAAACGGTTTCTAGAAGTAATTTGGAGCACCCGGAAGTACTTCTACACTTTCATCCAAACACCTCTATATCTGAATATGCTCTTTGAAAGAGTAGAAGCGGGTTTAAGAAGTATACTCATCTGAAGAAAAATGATATACGCTTATTCACATTGATTTGAAAATTCACATTCTTTATTATTTTTATGTTAAGATCCGGAGTTCTATTCCTAAAAGGTCAACCTGATATGAGGAGTAACTCAGATCTTAATATGATAGTATAGTGTTTTAATTTTTTCGGAGATATCCGCGGTAGGACTTTTAACATTTTACTTTAATTCAATTCTCACTCAATTTCAACCCCCTGTGTTGTGGAGGTTGGAGAATGGATCAAGTGATGAAGAACAAGTGGAATTTCTGAGAAAATGGATTGAAGTCCACATTGATGACGCACAGAACACTCTGAAGAAACCTATGCTCTTAGCCGAGTTTGGGAAGAGTGACAAAGATTCCGGGTTCACCGTCGCAAAGAGGGACATTCTGATGAGAACCGCTTACGCAGCCGTATACTCATCCGCCCAGGCCGGCGGTGCGGCGGCCGGCAGCTTGTTCTGGCAAATTATGACAGAAGGTGCGGAGGATTTCGAGGATGGGTATGAGATCTTCCTCAGCCGGACCTCCTCCACGACTGATATCATATTTGAAGAGTCACAGAGGCTCGCCAAGATTCGTAGAATGTATGCGAGGCTTAAAAACGTGGGGGAGTGGAAAAAGAAGAATAAGGGGGCGGCCCAAATCCATGGAAATGGCAACGGCAATTGATCTAAGAAGAAGGAGAAGAAATTCGCGAACAACAAATTCTACCACTATAATTTTTTTTGTCACTACCACTATAATTAAGTAAAGAAACATAATGTCAGACTGTTTTCTTTTTGTTTGTTTGTTTTTTATTATTCCTTGACTCCCTATTTAAAGATTTTATACATTATTAATGATCAATCCAAATCATTTTAGTATCTAACTAATCTCATTCTCTGTAATCCCTATCATAAATTGGACTTTTATGATTTCATATAGAGAGAACTAGTTACTCCACCGTGCGTTGCACGGGAGTGAAGTAATCACATAATAGTTTATATGTAATGATAAAAAGTATATATATAAACTTGATAGTAAATCAATTAAGTAAAAATTTCAAATAAAATAAGATGTTAGTAATAGCAAACTAAGAGATAAATAATACTAGTAGAAAATAAATATAGAACATTATATGATGAAATATTCATGCATGTATGCCCACGGCTTTCAAGGAAAACTATAAGTTGTTATAAACTTCAATTCTTCGTATTTAAACTGGGCGCGTAACAACGTGGTGATGGAGGAAGATGTCAACCTTTTCCAACAATTGTCCTCGATTTTTATTAATTGTCATTGCAATGTAATTAACTATTATAAGCATGGAATGATTGCATTCATATATTACATAAGTTTTTCTTGTATATGCCTAAACGTGTAAAGGGTAATATAGTTCACAACAACAAATTCATAAATACATGGGGTGGATACAACATTACTTCTATTAAATTCAATATTATACCACTCATTTAAAGATACTTCATTTTTCTATACATAATTGTATATTTCCCGGTGTTGTAATGCCCACAGAATATTTTCCCCGTGAGTTTAACACTTCAATTAAAAAAAACTTCAGCAATGATTTTGATTGATATTCAAATGACTTTTGATATGGACGTTCTTAAAGTGAAATAAAATTAACTGAAAAATTAGGTGAAAATAAAGAGTTATTAATGTAACACAATAGTTTTGAAAAATCATATTAGCTATGCAAATTTTTTTGCAATCAAAATGAAGGAGTTCATAAAACTAAGTAATCTTCAATTGATATTTAACTCTTCAAGAAATAATATTTCTTCATGATTTACAATTGCTATACCAAACTGCAAGTCGAAAGGTAATTTTTAAGACCTTTACCATTCACCACGACTTTATATTCATCTTCAAAGGTAACATGACCTTGATCTTGTTCCACCTTCACGAACAAGCTCTTATCTCTCGTCATGTGGTTGCTAGCTCCGGTATCTAAATACCACATGCTCTTCTTTGTTTGTTCTTCGTGATTTGCCATCAACAAGGTTAGTTCTACCTCATTATTCATCTCCATTAGATAGGCCTCTTCTTTCACATGATGAGAGTTCTTGCATTCATATGTATAGTGTCCATATTTATTGCAATTATGACATCTTAGTTGATACCTGTCGTACCTTTGTGGTTTGCTTTCTCTCCCACAACCTTTAGATGCTTGTGTATATTGAATTCTTTCTTCATTGTTGAATTTTGTATAACCACGACTTCGGTCACCTCTTCCACGTACACCACGCCCTCGATCCTAACCACAACCTCGTTGGCTTCTTTCTTCACATTTATTTTCCCCTCTTTCTTTGAAAGAGAGTTTGGAGTGAAGAGAATGCTCAAATGATTCATTAGATTTATTTCTCAAAACTCTTTTTTCATGGACTTGTAGTGAGCCCATAAGTTGATCAATGGTCATGGTCTCTAAATCCTTGAACTCTTCTATGCCACCACAATATAATCATAGTCTTTGGTGAGAGAGCGGAGGATTTTCTCAATCACTATTACATCTTTTGGTTCATCACCATTTCTCTTCATCTCATTTACAATTCCCAACACTCTAGAGAAATAGTCGGATCGGATATTGATTCTGAATATTTCATTTTAAGATGTTTGAACTCACCTCTAAGAGTTTGAAGACGAATTCTCTTCACCTTGTCGACTCCCTTGAAAGAATTATGTAGTATTTCCCATGCTTCTTTAGAAGTGGTGGCATTTGCAACATTCTCGAACATGGCCTTGTCTAAGCATTGCTATATGAGAGTTAGAGCTTGTTGATCCTTCCTCCTACTCTTTTGGAGATATTCTTTGGAATTGATTTAAAGTAGCATCATCTTGAGGTTCCTCATAACCTTTCTCAGCAATCTCCCAAGCATCCTCAGATCCTAGCAACGCTTTCATGCGAACAGGGGCTGATCTGGCTATGGGCCAGGGAGGGCCTAGGCCAAACCTCAAAACGGGCCGGTTCTATTTTTTGTTTCCATAAAACGGTCCGGGTAGGGTCGGATAATTTTTTTAAGGAACCGGACCGGTTCCAAAATTAAAAAATAACGGGTACCCGGCCTGGCCTGTTATATATATTGTATATTAATTTATTAATAGTTTTGTGATAATCGGTTTTGAAATAGTTTTGTTTCCTGTGCTAGAAGTAGGACTTTAAATTGAGTTGCAGTAACATTCTTTTGGTTTCAAATTATTGATTAAATGTTTCATAAATATCTTATTACTTTTTATTGTTATTGCATTATTCCTTTCTATGGAATTTAATTATTTGTTTAAGATGATTTTGTTATATTTTTTTTATTATATTGTTATTAAAATATATAAATTGTGTTTACCACCCACCATGTATGTGTCATCTTTGGCTAATACTGAAAATTTAATATAAAAAAAACAATCACTTTAATATGTGATGTTAGACAACATGTTTAGGGGTTTTTATTTGAATATTACTAATTTTGAACCAATTATCAAAAAAGTGATCATTTTTAAAAAGGGACAAAAAAGTAATCAAGAAGGTCATATATGTGGAATTAGAAAACAAGATGTCACTGCAAAAAAAATTATGTCACTATGTTTGTTTTATTACACCGCCACAGTGACACCGCCGGCGGCCATAGTGAAACCGCCGGCGGCCATAGTGACACCGCTGCCGGCCATAATGACACCGCTGCTGGCCATAGTGGCACCGCCACAGTTACATTACCGGCGACCGTAGTGATACTGCCACCGGTCATAGTGACACCACCGCCGGTCATAGTGACACCGCCACAGTTACATCACCGGCAGCCGCAGTGACACTGCCACCAGCCATAGTGACATCGTTGCAGTTACACTGGCGACCACAGTGACGCCGCCACATAAACGCATCATTCTCATTCTCCAATGACACCACCACAGCCCCAGCCCTCAGTCGTCACAACCACCGACCACCGCTGAATCTCCGATGACCATCCCCTAGCCCTACATACCAACTCGCCAGCCCCCAACCCCACTCCCGGTCCCCCTCCCTGCTCCTTGCGCCGCCCCTGTCCTCCCCTAGGCCTCTCTCCTACAAGTTCGCCAGAAATCTTAGCCATAGCACAGGCAGCCACAAATCGCAGCCGTCGTCCATCAAAGACAACAGATCCAGAACCGACGGTCCTAAATCGGAGTCGTCGTTCATCAAGGCTGCAGATCCATCACCAGTGGCCATCTGGGATGACGGAAAGGCTAGCTGGTGTGTAGCATATAATGGGCACACAACTATTTTTTTACCCAAGGAAGTAGGGTGTCGAACCACAGAGAAGCAGGAAATAAAATAATTAAGCACAAACTAAGGATTAAAGTTGGGAATGCGTTCTTTTGATTTTTGGTTTGCTTGAAAAAGTAATAAAATAAAAGTGATTGAGATAAGAGATTTTTAACAACACAAGGTTCAACAAATAGCAAGTACGGGTAGAAATTGGTAACTAATTGTTCAATGTTTAATTGAGAGACATAATTGATAATTTTATTCTTAGATAGATTCTGAGAAGTTGTAGATAAATATTTTAGGAGCCAACACAAGTCATCTAAAATAAGTAACTAGTCAACATTTCCCAGTGATGGCCAAAACGAGACTAGTTGTTTAAGTGCAACGACAACCTTAATTATTAACTATATTATTTACCCAACCCCGTGGTGTAAATAATATAATTAAATAATTAAATTCCCCCGTAAAACTTAAATCCAGGACAAGGTAAAAGAAGTTTAACGGTGTGTTCAGAAAGTGTTCATTTGTGTATTTAACAAACAATATGTTTATGATTGAGTACTCATAATATATATCACAAACATAACTTAATTAATTTTCTGGACACAACAATCTAAATAGAACAAACTTAACAATTAAAATCAATACAAATTAAAACATGATAAGAACAATTAATTAACCAATTTCTAGCCCCAAATTTATTTAGCTATACATGTTTGGAAGCATAGAAATAGATGAATTCATGATTGAAGTACAAGATTTAAAGGGATAAGGAAGATCAAACTTGTGATAGATGACAATCCTTGGAGCTTGGTGCTAATCTTGACTTAATCTTGAATGAGAAAGTGATTAATTGATGTTGAAGATTGGTTGATGATTTGGAGGTGAAGAATGAAGAGAGAAGGAGGAGGAAATGATTCTGGGAGGTGTAGAGAGAAGTTGGCTCGAGATTATGTGTGGAAGGAGATGAATTAAGGCAATATAATGATAAGGTGATTAATCATTAATTGCTGGAATTTACGGAACTCTTAGATATATATACAAGCAAGCGTCTCCAATTGTCAACAACCCGTAGCAGTGCAGTGGAAGCGGAGTGCTAGTGAGACTCTGAGGTCCTGTTTTCGAACCCCCTTCTATTGACTTTTTTTCCGTCTTTTCTTGCTGCAGTTGAAAGGAATTAAAACAAGCTCCAGCTAAACCTTCACAACTTAGACATTCAGCTAAATCCTCGCTCGAAGTGTTTTTCCACTTTTTGCCTCTTTTCTTCAATTTACTCATTTGCTTGAAATTCCACTTTTAACTGGAACTTTCATTTTCTTCTTTTCTTCACACACAAATATATCAAATTGTATCAAAACTACCTGAAAATACAAAATACCCATGTAGTACTGCACAAGTACAGACTAATGACAAATAATAAAAATATGTACAAAAATAAAACTTTAATAACTAAAATTAACAACAAACTAAGCCTAAAATGTGTGTAAAATATAAGTATATCAAATCCCCCACACTTAGGCTTTTGCTTGTCCTCAAGCAAAACAAACAACAAACACAAAAATATACACAATTTGGTAAAATTTTCAAACATAACTAAACAAATCACACATACACCTCTAATGTCCACTAAACGGTCCAATACCCTAAAATGTCACAAAATAACGCAATGAGAGTAAACTGAGTATTTGTGCCTATCACTAAGATTTTCAAATCAAACTTTTAACACAAACACCTATAGATCTAAACTAGTTCGGGTTATGCAGAACAAGTTTCTCCAATTAACTTAATTTAAATAAAATGACACAAATAGATCAATTAGGACTTTTTCGGGTTTTGGCGAGGTTAATGATGTGGCTAGTGGAAAAAAAGGTTTGGTGTAGGAATTTACAAAGAGAGTTAGATTGCACTTATACTGAGCGGATAATCACACGAATTTACAAGCACTTGGAGCATACAAAACAATGAGAAATATAAATTGGAAAAAAATGGGGTTTTACAGAAGAAATTACAACAAGAAATTAATGTGCCTCTTTGTTTTTTTTTTTACTTTTTTTTTGTTTGTTTTTTCTTTTTCTTTTTTTTATTTTCTTTTTTTCTTTTTTCTTTTTTTACTTTTTTTTTTCAAGAAGGCACACACTAAATATTACAATGAAAAACTAACCCCAAAATTTACAAACAAATATGTACTTCACTAATATGACACTTAATAGAAGTTCCATTTTATCCACTCTCAAGTAACAATACAAACTACTCTAGGGTAGAAACAAAAATGAATTGGGTAGGATTTCACAAGGTTATGTATTTACAAGGTCACAAGAAAAATTAGTAACAAGTGAAGTAAGTTATTTTACACTTGTACACTGAAAAGGCTCAAAGGGTGTTACTAGGGAAAATGTTATTTATTTACAAAGGGATATTGTTTGGCTTCATGGGTAAACAAAGATGGCCTAAATCGTTTCTAATGTGTCAAGTTCAAATTAAATTTCAAGGAGAATAAATGTATAAACATCTTAAACTGCATAAACTTTCACTCATTCAACTATTAAACCAATAAATTGGAAAAATAAAATCTAAGGTGTTTAATGTTAAATTGTTAGCAAAAAAAATCAAGTTCAAAGCTCATACTAAGTTACTCTCAAAAAATTATAGTGACACTTCTCAAACTCAAACCACATTTCGTCAAAAGAGCTGATGAATGAATAATTTAAAAAGTTATGGAGGTAACTAGTAACAAAAATATTGTTACAACTATATTCATACAACCTCAAATCATTTCCAATTTCATTCTTTGGCAACTATATCAATATTTCAATAATA